AAAAAAAAAAAAAAAAGAAAGTTCATCTTATTTTGAACTGAAGAACTCATTAGGTGAAAATGACCCATCATTTTAGACTTTATAACAAGTAATTAAGTGTACATAGTCAAACAGATTTCAAAAAATGGAAGCATATTTCATAGAGCTCGCAAGAAAAATAAGTACTGAACGAATTGAAAGAAGAGTTCACGAAGCCATAAATATTTTCTGCATTTTAAGGGGAACTGTTTTTCCCCCCAGTTCTAGTTGACATTGTTGTGTACATACTCCATTTGAGAGGCAGACACAGCCTGTGCTATAGACCCCATGAATTGGAATAGGAAACTGTCTGAATTGAAGGAAGCCTCAGATGAGTTGACATGAGGGAACCAGAAGTGGCTGGTACTAATTCTGATAAATCGAAGGTTCCAAAGTTACCCGACAAACCCTTTCTCTTGGGAAACACATACACATGTAGCGTACAGAGAAGATGGATATCTGGTTTGCAGCTACAGACCTGAATTATGTTGTGCAGGTTTTCCTTTTTTTTTTTAAGATTTTCTTATTTATTCATTTGAGAGAGAGACAGAGAGAGCACAAGCAGGGGGAAAGGCAGAGAGAGAGGGAGAAGGAGACTTCCCACTGAGCTGGGAGCCTGGGGGCTTGATCCCAGGACCTGGAGATCATGATCTGAGCCATAGGCAGACACTCAACCATCTGAGCCACCCAGGTGCCCTGTTGTGCAATTTTTCTTGTTACTTTTCAAGACCAACACATATCACAGAATCAGGAGGTCAGAGACTTCTTAGGTGGCTCTGTGATCCCAAAGAAGTAAATTTTCTTTATGTTTTTTGTAGGTAATCATATATTAGAAATTATTCCTTATTGTAAATAATCTGAGTTTATCTTTTCCAGACAGGAACTCTGGAGACTCTGGAACTCTGGAGATTCTGGAAAACCTGACAGGCTGGAGAAGTATAAGGTATAATTTCATGATTACATGTAATAGGAAATTAAAATGGCACTTTTCATATTGTCTCAGTTTTGACTAAGAACTCTAAGGCTAAACAATATAGGTACCAAAATTACCCCCACATTGGAAGACAAGGTACTACCGTGTCCTACTTTATGTAGGACATGCTAAGACACGGACAGTTTCTTCTGCCAGCATTAGCTCATCTCTTGTTTCGGAGCTCTGTAAGGGCCGCCGAAGACTTCATGAGGAAGGGCAGAAATAACTGGGAGGGAGGATTTCTTTGGAGAGAATTGTCAGTGTGCTGTATATTCTGGTGAGAGTGATGGAAGCACTTCCTTCTCATCTGAAGCCAAGAGAAGAAAACCACTCAAAAAGCTTGAAATGTGTTCTCTGGAACCTGAACGACTCAAAGTCTGGCATCTGAAATTAGAAAATGTCAGGCTAGAGGCTGGCTAGAGCAGTCTGTTTGGTGGCGGAACGAAGTAGAGCAGAGTTTAGTGGAGCCAGACACACAGGTGTGTTTTCCCATGGACCAAATGTGGAGCCTGCAAAGGGATACAGTTGTAGATAATCTTAAAAGAAACTTCACCAAAGAAATCCACCTGGAGAGGGTAGGTGGCCCTGGTGGAAGTCAGGGGCTGAAGGCAAAGTCTTAGTTGGTTGGTTGTGTAAAGAATCCAACCTATAAAGGAATTGTAGGTAGGAGGTCCCCAGTGGAGTGGAGGGTTCTTTGTGAAACCCACAGAAATTCCACACTCAAGAAGGAATCCAGTATCTGAAAGGTGCTACAGCCAAAGAGTACCAATATCAGATTGTAACAGTAGTTACTGGTCATGTAGAATACAGTCTTTTCCTCCAAATTTCCCCTCCCTTCGAGTCTGGACAATGGAGGGGCTTGAGCAGTAGCTAGCAAGTGGTGGGAGCGATGGAGCATGAACAGAAGAAGCAAACCCCTCATTCCTTCCCCATTGCAGATTTAATTTCCTGGGGCAGCAATGGCAACCAAGCCAGTGGTGATGTCCTGTGTCCAAGGGTGGTATTGTGGTTCAGTCTATAGCATCTGGAGCCTATTCAGACCAGTTCTGCTGCGTAGGCTTGGATATAAATTTCAAGCTGTGTATCTCTGAAAGTTTTCTAGTCCTCTTGATAATATTGTGACCTACCCAGTAGCTTTTAAATAAGTTCCTTATCGTTTTAAATTAGCCAGAATCGATTTCTGTGACTTGCGATGAAATCAGTCAAAAACAGTATTAGGAATTTTGCAAGAAAACAGACCATCAGTGGGTTAATCTGGGATTAATTATCTGACCTGGTTGAGGCTGAAAGCAGTGAAAATTCAGCTGATTCTACGGAGTAGAGCATCTCTAGGTGTGCAGGGATGGATGAAACAGTTAATTAAAAAGTCAGCTCTGATTTTCTGGAATGAAGTGAGTAAGTATTGGAGGCAAAGCCTTGGGGACTACTCAGTTTTTGACATAGAAGAGTATTAAAGTGCATGAGTCATTCAAAGCCAGAGGGGGTAGATGGTTACTTCTAAAAGTGCTGGTCAGTTTTTAGAGTACAGGTCCTTTACTTCTTTGGTTAGGTTTATTCCTAGGTATCTTATGGTTTTTGGTGCAATTGTAAATGGGTCGATTCTTTAATTTCTCTTTCTTCTGTCTCACTGTTAGTGTATAGAAATGCAACTGATTTCTGTGCATTGATTTTATATCCTGCCACTTTGCTGAATTCCTGAATGAGTTCTAGCATTTTCGGGATGGAGTCTTTTGGGTTTTCCACATAAAGTATCATGTCATCTGTGAAGAGAGAGAGTTTGACTTCTTCTTTGCCAATTTGAATGCCTTTTTTTCCTTTTTGTTGTCTGATTGCTGAAGCTAGGACTTCTAGTACTATCATATGGTTTCACTCATATGTGGAATATAAGAAACAACGCAGAGGATCATAGGGGAAGGGAGGGGAGACTGGGAAGAAATCAGGGAGGGAGAAAAACCATGAGAGACTCTTAATTATAGGAAACAAACTGAGGGTTGCTGGAGGGGAGGAGAGTGGGGGGATGGGGTAACTGGGTGATGGGCATTAAGGAGGGCACATGATGTGATGAGTACTGGGTGTTATACACAACTGATGAATTACTCAACTCTACATCTGAAACTAATGATGTACTATATGTTGGCTAATTGATTTTTAAATAAAAAAAAAAGTGCTGGACAGTTTAATGAAAGAGAATGGTAAATTCTGATTGCTGTATGATGTCAGGGCTCTAGTTTAACTGCTCTGCTATTCTCTTGTTTTTCCCACCATGGTTGTAAGATGGCTGCTACAGTTCCAGCCTCTCAGGTCCTTACATGACAACATCCAAAGGTAGGAAGGAAAAGATCTTTTTTTTACCCTTCCTTTTTTTTAAAATCAGGGGAGAAATCACTCCCCAAAGCCCTCTAACAGACGTCCCCATATGTCTCACCAGAATAGAGTCATGTGTCTATCCCAAATCAGTCACTAGCAAAGGAGAATGGGATTAGACCATTCATAGCTTAACTCTTGGGGCTAAAGGAGACTCCCACCTTCCCTTAGCTGATTATTGCCTGTTTCTTGAATGAAATTGGGTTTCTTTTTGTAAGGGAGAAGTGAGGAATGGCTAACGAGTGTCAGCAGCTAGTGTGGGCAACATCATCTTCGGGCAGCTCTCACCTGCCAGCTTTGAGTGGAACGTAGAGTAAGAGAAGTCCAGCTGATCTAGACTGCTGTGAGAACAACCCTGATGCTTTCCTTTTATGGATTCAATGTTTTTGTTTTTTTTTTAAATCTTTTATTCATTCACTTGAGACACAGAGATACAGAGGAGCATGAGCAGGGGGAGAGGCGGAGAGGGAGAAGCAGGCTCCCCGCTGAGCCAGGAGCCTGATATGGGGCTTGATCCCAGGACCCTGGGATCATGACCCAAGCTGAAGGCAGACGCTTAACCATCTGAGCCACCCAGGCACCCTTGGACTCAATATTTTTCAAGTGTCTGTGGCAGGATGTTGTATGGAGCCTAGACAAGCTCCAGTAGATCTGTGGTGGAGAACTTAGCGTTTTAGAGCAAAGTCTTGCTCTCTTCAGTCCTTCTTATGATTGAAAATGTCAAACTAAGACATGCTAGGTAATCATGCTTTCTGCGTTTCTCACCATGAACTGAGTATTATTGGATCAACAGAATTTTCAGCCTGGACATGCCCCAGGAGGATAGCATTATCAAGTGGAATTGTGTATACAGGACTGGATCCAAGCAGATCCTGAAGGCCCAGTAAATTGCCTGAGCAATTGACTCACACTCCTACTGCACTTCTACACCTATATGATCAGTTTATAGAGGAGGAGGAGAATTTCAGCTTTGTTTACAGTGCTCTGTACAATATTCTGGCAGTTGGTAGAGGTAGATTTGGGAACTCTTACAGGAATACAGAACATCAAGAATTATGTATATCTGTTTTTTTTTTATTTTTTAAAAAAGATTTATTTATTTGAGAGAGAGCAAGAGAGCATGAGTGGGGGGAGGGGCAGAGGGAGAGGGAGAAGCAGACGCCCCACTGAGCAGGGAGCCCCATGTGGGGCTCGATCCCAGGACTCTGAGATCATGACCTGAGCCGAAGGCAGATGCTTAACTGACTGAGCCACCCAGGCGCCCCTATGTATATCTCTTGGAGTCTTCTTTGACAAGAATGAAATGGCCTGAGGTATGGATCTACATTGATTAATAGGCAGTAATTAGTGATTTGGTCAGATGGCCAGGGACTTTGAAGGAATGAGGTTATAAGATTGGTAATAAGTCTGGAGAAGAGATATGTGGCTGGACCTTTTGTACTGAGCACTGTATGTGAGAAAATATATGTCCCCCAAGTGCTTTCTTAGTGGGCTTATAGTGTTGTGCCCATAGATGTGAGCATAGGCTCAACAGCATAAATAATCCTTTCCAAGCATGTTCTGGCTCTGCCACAGCTCAGTGTTCAGACTGACAGCAACGTCTGACCACCCTGGATCCCCAATATGGTATAATACCTAAGGGGCACTAGGCAGCCATTCTGTGACAGATTGGATACATTGGATTCCTTTCACTCTGCAGGGGGCAGAAATTTGTGTTCTGGCTCTGCCACAGCTCAGTGTTCAGACTGACAGCAACGTCTGACCACCCTGGATCCCCAATATGGTATAATACCTAAGGGGGACTAGGCAGCCATTCTGTGACAGATTGGATACATTGGATTCCTTTCACTCTGCAGGGGGCAGAAATTTGTTCTCACTGGGATCAACCCTTATTCCAAACCTAGAATTTTTTCCCTATCTATTATTTTTCTACTTGTATCATCATCCATGGATTTATTAATATAAATGAAACATAGATTCAGACTCTCAGATTAAAAAAAAATAAATATAGCAAAGGCATACGCTTTCAGTTACTCCATTATTTTGGAATAATTAATAATTCCACCTTGTGCATGCAGAAGAAAAGGAAAGTGCTAAGGATTCTCTTTTAATTTGGCAGAAAAATTTGAAGAGTGTTTAGAAATACAGAGATACCAATTACAATGTTATTACCAGGTCAAAATCTTGGCTATAAGATGAGCAGAATTGCAGATTCCTCTTGGAGGTTATTTTCACAGGATAAGGCAACACTTTCTAAAGTCTTTGGAATCATATAATACATTTTGGTTCAAGTAACATTAAATTAACTGAGAATGGATTTCTTTTTAACAAAAAAACAGAAGACATTCTAGTAATAGTTGTGAATATTCACACATCTCCATATTGAGGAGAACCAATAGATATTTTTGGAAACCTTTTAAATTTATTAATTTTTTTTCAGAGAAAATTGAGTTTAAAAGAGTTTTAATTTCAGTATAGTTAACATATAGTGTTATATCGGTTTCAAGTGTACAATATAGTGATTCATCAGCTGCATATATTACTCACTGCTCATCAAGGTAAGTGTACTCTTAATCCCCTTCACTTATTTCACCCATCCCCCCCCCACCTCTCCTCTGGTTGGTCCCATCTGTTTGTTCTCTATAGTTAAGAGTTGGTTTTTTGGTTTGTCTCTTTTGGAAACCTTTTTAATTTAATACCTTATCAAACCAGGTTTTTAAAAGTAGCTTATGATGCAGAATTTTATTTTATTTTTTATATATCTGCAAGAAGGGATATCTCTTTCATCTCTTTCTCAGACTCCTTTGGTTAATTATAAACATTTTTATTTTTAAGGTCAGGTTCTGAAATTTTATTAGCTACATTGTAAGTAGGCCTATAAAACAAGTTTATTGGCAGAAAGGATAAAAAATGTTATTTAGTAGCAATAAAATAAAGAGGATATAATTTTTCTATATTATTAAATGCCTATTTACTCATAATTTCCTTCTAAGAACACCTTGAAACTTCAGAGAAGACAAATGGTCTATCTTTGGGTTAAAGTGATAGAATAAGAGCATTCTGGTTAGTAGTATTCCAGAGAGGAAATATTTAGGAATTTTATACACCTCAATATTTGTCAATGATGGAGCTGGCTGACTAAAGAATATATAAATACAGATTGCATTTACTGGTCTGTTATTCACACTGCATGTGGAGTATTGACTCTAAGTATATTTAGAGAAACTTTGTGATGCTCCAGAGGGCAGAACTAGGGAGGCAGACTTTAGTTTTAACCATAAGGAAAAAAATTGGCCTGTGAGGGTGCTTAATCTAGGGTTGACTGACCACCTGTCAGGCATACTTTAAAAAGTGATATATTTATTTAATTTGGAATTGGGAAATATCCATCTTTCTTGACCCAACTTTTATTTTGAAAAGTTTTGCAATTTCAGAATTTGAAAAACAGGACAATGGATACCTCTATGTTTTTCACCTAGATTACCAATTAATATTTTTTGGTCAAATTTACTCTCTCTCTCACACACACACACCCGCACACTTTTTTTTTTTAAGATTTTATTTATTTATTTGACAGAGAGAGACACAGTGAGAGAGGGAACACAAGCAGGGGGAGTGGGAGAGGGAGAAGCAGG